GCAATGAACTCCGCTTAGCACAAAAAACTCGCCCATTTCTCTACAGAAGAGGGCTGGACCAGGAACATCCCCCGGCTATTGTGTAGCTAAAGAGCTTGGTCCGCCAACCCCCCTCCTTTCTCCTGTCCTTCAACTCTCATTCCTGGCCATTTGAAACTTCTTGACTAGGACATAAAGCATTCAAAGAAAGTGACTTTTATAGACTTATTCGAGCTCATCTTCACATACAAACTGGCTTCATACCTGCAAGTGAAAAGATTTAGTGTTGGGCCACTGAACCATCGAGTAATGGCATTTCCATTGAACGGCTCTATTGTGGGTGTCCCACAGGGCTCTATAGCTGGCCCACTAGGGTAGACACACACGTTGCCCAGGAATGACCTGGTAATCAGCTATTTAACTGAAAGCCATTGAGTCCCAATAGAGAAGTGAGAAGCATGTCCAAACCTGTTATGTGCTCCCTAGAGGTGGTCTATGCGCAGATTTGTCGTACAGATTAAAAAGGCAACATTGAATAGATGGCTAAATTGTTCCACTTGACTTTTGTTGTGCGTGCACCTGTGAGTGAAGTAGCGTGGGATTGCTCCTCACAGTTCACCAAATCCCTTTTTCTCAGATGAAGTGGCTTTCTATTCTCTTTAGTCACCCCCAGTTTGTTAAATTTAACAAAAAGAAAAAGAGAAATCAAAAGTGAGGGCCAAAAACAGGCATGATCCCGGGTAAAGAATGTAGGAAATGAGATATGGTTATATTTATTGCGGACTTAATTGGATTTTAGCAATTTATATCAAAATATACATAATCAAGACTCTTGAGAAATTGGACCAAAATGCGGTTGAATCTCAATTGGCTACACACAACTGCTGAATTCCCATGGCTGCTACTTCTAGCTTTTTTTCTTATGAGGTTAGCATTTTTTTCCACAGTCCATCAATATCATATTCATCAGATTTACCATTATTAATATATGTGGGTTTTTTTATGTTTCAGAGGGAGCAAATATTCAAATGTGGTCTGCTGATATAAGTCCTAAATCACGCAGAGGGATCCTTAGGAGAGCTGTGTTCTCTGACGAACAACGGAAGGAGCTGGAGAGAACTTTTCGGAGACAGAAATACATCAGCAAGACAGACCGGAACAAATTGGCAGGTGATCTCAGTCTCAAGGAGTCCCAGGTAAAAATATATGATTAAGCTTGATCCACTTCTGATCATAAAAGACAGAAAAATAACGATCAGAGTACATCCTTAGCCATATTTAATTTAACAGATGTGAGAAGTGGTGAAAAAGACTACAGAAATTGACCGAGATGCCTCTCCATTCTTTTGCTGCTTTAGGTAAAGATCTGGTTTCAGAACCGTCGTATGAAGTGGAGGAACTGTAAGGAGAAGGAGGTCCATAACACCCGCTCCCCAATGGATGAGCTCATGGCCCGGGGTCTTGCTCAGGAAGAGGAAGAACCTACACAGAACCATCACTCTGAATCAAAAAGTGAGAGATCACCATCACAGAATAGTGCCAGGGACACATGAGTGGCAGTAATGGGTGGAAAGTAAACCAATGACTTTCTTAAATCCACAAAAACTGGTAAAAGGCTACACAACTGGAAAGGTATTGAGGAATGTGTGGATAGAATAAACTGTCTGTGAAGACTAACATTGACTCTTTTATAAAGCATGTAACCATTTTGTTGAATCATGAATCATCTTATTGTGTATCACCAGCTTTCTTTAGCAATTGTTTATTACACTAACAAGTCTTTCCAGGAAAGACTCCCACTCTTTGATTGTAATTACAATCACTTGAATGCACAAATTAGTCACTTGCTTTTATGCTTTTACATCAGACTTCAAATTTGTTTTATCATTTAGTCAGCTTTAGAGTAACACTCTGCTCATAATCAAAAAACTTTTTTGAAGACAAATCTCACTTGCTATATTTTGTAAATATGTTATTTTTTCATGATTATGAATGCATAGATCAGATGTAAATAAAGCGTTTCAATTAATCCTCATTTCCATATTGCTTGTTTTTACTGTGGTGGGCTGTGGAACAATTCAATTAACATGTAAATAAACACTTCTATACACTGTCTACCATTAATAGAAATACTATAGAGCTTGTGGTATCCATTATGAAGAAGATGAACAAAAACGATGATGGTTTAGTTATCTTTTATTATGTTTTTACCTTTTTACACTCAATGGTCAAAAATGAAATTGTGTCATTCCTATGCCAATAAAACTGCAAGAGACATACACACTCCAGTACAGTAAATGCACCCATTACAAGTTGGTAAGAACATAATGTAGATAAAAGCAAATAAGAAACAAAGACTCTTCTATTCAGCCTACATTAAACTTCTTTGCTATCACTATTAACACTCCGGCTCAGGAAGAGTGATGCATTTCAGGATACGGAGATAATTTTTCGCCTTGTTAGAGTCTCTGCGGAAACAGTAGAGTAGGTCATGATGGTCCATTGAGTCTAGGTCTCCTTGTGTGTAGAAGGCTGAAGAGGGGACCAAACTCTCAGGAGAGTTATAACCCACAGTGTTACTAAGCACTCCCAATAGCTTCATCTGTTGAACACAGAAGAAACATTGAAAAGTGAATTATTTCAAGAAATGAAAAAGGACAACATTGACTGTATACAATTTCAAACAACCAAGCCAAATACAATCACTTAGACACAGCCAAAAAACACATCTACAACCAAAAGTGATTTGTTACCTTTTCAGTTATTATTGTCACTCCGTCTTTTAGCTCGTGCAATATATCACTGATCTCCAGTGCCTTGTTGGAGCTGTATAGGTTAAAGTCTTGATTTTGATCCTGAGACATGCTCTGGTAGAGCTCAGACAGCGGCTCACCCCAAGCCTGAAGCAGCCTTACGATTACCTCTGTCAGTTGTTCTCTCTGCACATGACAAAGTTGCTTAAATAAATTAATATGACAAGATGCAGGGACATCTTCTAAATGCATAAGTATTATTAACAAAATAAATGCTTACCCCTAGCCTTTGTGCATTTTCCTTATCTTCTGGTGTGAGTATATCATAAGTGTGGCACTTCCGTTTTCCTATGAGATTCTTCCTGGGAAAGAAATATTGCTCCTGTGAAGAGGGACACACATATCAGACATAGTTATATCAGGCGGGCTCGAAAAATAGCCGACTCCAACGAGGCTGATTGATGATGGAAGAATGGCGGTCGAAAGGTTGATGGATGGTGATAGATGATCAATGTCAGAGCTGAAAGAAAATAACTCACAAATTCAGAGTGCAGATCACTGGAGACGCTGTGCATTCTTGAAGACTGTTGAATGACCCTTTCAAAGAGATCTGCCAGAGAAGGAACATGGCATCCAGCCTGTCCATAGGAACAGATTGGAGCACTGACCACCCTCATAGAAAGCTCCAGGTACACCAGCGTAAGAACAGCAAACAAAACTGAGGGGGGAAAAAAACGTTAAGTCATTAAAAAAAACGAAGTAATACATATAATTAAAAACTTTGTGCAGTTAATGTGTCGTCTTTAAATCTTACCCTTCTCCATGGTTCCTTTCTTGCAGTGGAGGACAAAATTATGAGTAGAGCTCTTTTCCCAACGGAAGCTATATAGTGATGACGTTGCTGATTAAACAAATTAGTTAATATACAAAAACGTGATTATTCTCTTTGCATATCATATGCCTCACTTAGTTAACTGCTCAGCCAAGAGCAGACAAAGCTAACTGAGGTGGAATATATACTACACGCTAAAGACTGGGTTAGTCCATTTTTTTATTTTAAGTTAATGAGCATTAGTGTATGGGACCAATACAAACTTGTATTTGGTTTTGCTCAGCTTTATGTACAAATGTGCTTATTGAAATGTAGTAAGAAAAAAACGATAAAGGCTTTCTATGTCTAACTAATTTTAAAATAACTGATCCTTATCAAATTCCCATGTCTTGCTTTAGCAGTACATCAAAGTGTGATAAATCAAACCGATTCAAATTCATACATTTTAGATCATTAAACCTAATTAGGACAACAACACATTTCAAACCATTTAGCATTTTCACATTTATTTGAAACTACGAGACTCATTAACTGTCCCAAGCACAGCATCAAAATGGATAGAATCACAAAAGTCTAGAAAAAGCCTTTTGTTCCACAACCCCAGCTCTAATGTTCAGCCTGCTAGTATCAAGTGAGGCTTTTCAAATGTTAAGTGGGTGATTTATCTTCTCATTAGTATGACCAAGACCAGAGGCCATCTACAGTGAATACAGTCATGAGTCATTCTATAGTTTTACTTTTTTCCCGAGCCACTTCGCACATCATAGAATCATCAATAAAAAGTCAGGTTTTCAGACTAAAGGGGGTAAAACACACATTGAATTAAATGCAGTTATTTTTCAGTAATAACCCTTGTAATCCTTGCAATGATTGTTTCTCCATAAGTGTGCCACCTTGTGGAGGAATGAGTGTTAAGAGAAGAGGGTAAGGTATATAGAGGAGCCTACCTTGCTGTATATATATGTTGTTTTTTTTGCCTCAGGACTTTAAAGGACTAAGCGGTTAGGCCAAAAATGACACGTACACTTGCATAGTTTTGCAGAAAATAACTTTTTATGTTCATCTTTTTCCACATAGCATACACATAAAAAGATGTCATAAATACACCAATATCATTATAGAAAATATAATATACATCAATTTACATTAATTAATACTATGTACAGGTTTGAGTGCATTCAATTACTGTGTGCTGTCAGAGCAGGGATGAGAGAGTGAGCTGCTGAGGGACACAAAGGGTGCTGGTATTCAGCTCTTTTCTTATATTAATTCAGTTGACTTGATGCTCACTAACACCCAATGCCCAGAAACTCTTCTTCTCAAAGTTCCTCCTTGATTTTGTCTTGAATTATATGTTTTGAGTGTCACATTGTTTTTTCTTAAGCAAGTCTTCACTTTAAACACAGATTCAGAGCTCCAGTTTTTACATGTAACTATCAATCCATTAAACATCTGTGATGCTTCCACTTGCGAGTGGCCACTGCCATGTTTATATCTTTTTTGTGCCAAGGGAAGAGACGGGTGAGAGCGAGGGTGCCATCATTCTGCACAAAACCTGTCAGCACGTAAAGCTGTGACCTTCCAGGACGCACTAAGATATTGGCACATTGCAGGTTGATGAGGAGCCACTGCTGCAGTAGGTGCCGGGTGTCATAAGGCAGGAGAGGTCCCTGGCGGATAAACTCAACACGGCCTTCAACCTCAAATTCTGGCCCTCCCAAAGGGAGGCGACGACGATGGATTTTGGCAGTCACAGCTGTGGAAAAAGAGAAAAATATTAATTATCTGGTTAAGAAAATCACATACAATTGTTAAAAACATGGCCGTACAGGTGGCATAACAAATCAGTGTAGTGAAATAACTCTTAAACTTACCGAAGTCATGCAGGCAAAAAGCATCCAGGACTGTTTTCATTGCAGGAGACTCTTCCACAGACGGACAGTTTTGGCAGGCGGGTTTTGGTAAGTCTGTGATAAGAAAATAATCATAATTTAGCAAGAATGCAGGGTACAGTATATACAGTTATAATAGACAAACCTAAACAGGTTGGTAATGAATGGAATGACAAGGCATTGAAGTATTGATGAATAGTCTGTGGTCTATGCATACCTTTGGCACTGTGGCTAGATTTAGAGTAGGGAGAAAGGCACATGTCTTCCTGGGCAGGAAAGCGGTCACAATCGAGTGCCTCAGGCCATGGCTGACCCTGGCAGGCGAGCACCGGGGCACAGCTGTCCCTCACTGCCACACACAGACTACGGCATGGCCGGATAAAGCTGTAGAAGAAAATAAAATAATGTTACACAATGAATAGGATATTGCTGCAAAATAATGTTTAAATCTGAAGCATGTTTTAAACATATTCAATATATTTTGTTGAGTTATATTTTACATAAAAATAACAACCAGGAGAATTACAATTACAAGGAATGTAAAATGTACTTACGTATCAAGACAGACGGGAGCAATGAGGGAGCAGAGGAAGACCTGGGCTTGAGGGTGGCATCCTGTCTGCAGCAGGGGCCTCCAGTCCTCTGAACGTGGCACCACCTCAGCTTCCAGGTTGGTGTGACCCAAGAAGTTAGGCAGACGCATCTCAGAGTATCCAACATCTTTGCACACTTTCATCTGATTTGGGATGGTGACGCAACGAGTGGACTGACTCATGTCAAATGCCATTGCAGGCAATGCCATAGCCAGGAGAGCAACAGTGAAAAACACACTCATAGTGAAGGAATTTGCAAAATACAGAGTCCTCAAGGTAGATAGATAAGCTGAGGTTGCTGGTGCCCAGAGGTCTCTTTTTCCTAGAATGACTTGGTAGCTGATGCTGCCTGCTTTATATACAGCAAGGTCAGCCAGGCCCATCAGCCTGTAAGTCTGTTATCAACTACCTATCAAAGACGCAGAGACGATGAGTTTGGAGACAACGGCTTGTTTTGTGATGACTGCAGACAAAAGGGGGGTAATAAGCAGATGGAGGGTGTGTGTCAGGGGGAGTAGGGAGGGGGGGGGACAATGGGCAATAATGGCCCAGCTTTCACTGAGTGAAGCCCAGTCAGAGTCTGTGGCCGTTTCTCGAGTAAAGCTGCTGCAGAGCCACTATTTCAAGTATACTACGTCATCGAGTGGCGCCGAATGCTGGGCATTTAAACAGTCCTTCGGCGCCACTCGATGACGCAGTATACTTGAAATAGTGGCTCTGCAGAAGCTTTACTCGACATTGAGAAACGGCCACTGCCTCATCTTTTTCTTTGGGTCAAAAATATTGGGAAAACCTTGTGGAAAAGAACAAAAAAAGACCTTGGTTTTTACAATATATACAGTAAGTCTATAACATGGGGTTAGCTAAACTGCTGCAACTATATACATGATTTGCAGGGTTAGTAATAGTGACTCAATTACCTCAAAAAGGAGTGATATGTTTGTTATTTGTCCCAATAGCTGTATCTGCTTTGAGCTTATTACATACAAGCCAATGCAAAAGAAAGCAACATTGCTTTTATATATCACTCAAAAGAACCAAATCCCATAAAGAGGCTTTGCTGAGGGTAGCAAAATAAATCTGAGAGTTCCCTTAGAAATAAATCTTGTGTAGACAGACAGGCAGTCTCCTTCTTACTGCCAGTCTCTTTCATGTGTCTCTGCTTCTAATTGCAGGGTTTCATCTGTGGTCCTCCAGTTCTCATTAGCAAGGCAGCGTCTCTTTTTGCTCACCTGGCTTTGATCTTTCAGAAACACTAACTCTCTTGTAAAATACAGTTATGCTGCCTAGTTGATTTTTTTTTATATTAAGCATCAGCAGTGAAACATTTTCTGGCAGCATCAGTACATTGATGTCGACATCTGTGTTATAGCATGGAAACATACATACATCTCCTTCAGCCAAGATTAATATGTTTTTTAATGAATCATACTTATATCTACAAATTACCCGAGCAACATCTGCTGTCAGGCAGACGCATCCACACTTAGTCATAACAAAGCAACATCCCTGAAGTCAAATGTAATACCTTTTAAGACCTTTTTTAAGACCCTTTCCATACATTTTAAGACCTCATCGCCACTTCGACTTTTAACCGGTTACATTGGAGACACACTTTACCTCACATTGACTATATACAGTATTGATTGTCCTTCCTCTTTATCTTCCAACCATTTGGACGCAGACTTGCATTTCCCCATAATGATGTTGTTTAACAACCGGCGTAAACGGACCGTCGCACGCTACCAAGCAGTGAGCGTGCGATGTCCTGTTCACTTGACGTCAAACCCAACGGGATGCCATAAATAAACTACACAGAATCACACTACACACCTACGCAATGATGACATTCAGGCACACTGTAGAATACAACCGCTTTCGACAATTTATATACTTATTGAAAACAAGATACAAAATGTCATACCTTGGAAAATGCCGTTTAATACTTTTTAATAGCCTTAATCTTCGCTAAATAGATTTATCAACTTTTAATACTTTTTAAGACCCCGCGGACACCCTGCACTCAAGACACCCGAGATCTCGTCCTGAGATGCAGACCAGGGCCACAGACACAAGTGCTAATTTGTCTCGTTCTCTGTCTTGTGCATTCGAGCCTCTTAATTTAACAAAAGAACTACATTAGACAATCATCGTATTTGTTTGGATGTCGTCTGTCTACAGATTAAGATGTATATCTTGGGCTGATGCCTCCAGGCCTTTGGAGGACTTTCCCTCATGAATCCGAGGTCTCTATCCCACCCAGCCTGCCATGCTCATTGTGACTTCAGACATCCCAAAGTCAACCTGATTTTAGTTTGCCACACTCTCGTCTCCCTGTTTGCAGCAAGGAATACTCTCTCGCAGCCAGAGCCCTCACCAGCCCAGCCAACTTTTACAGCCTGATCTGATGCGTGCAGGCTGGTTCCAGGTCGGGTAGACGAGTGTAGCCCGTAAAATGGGACTAACTGGGCAATTAGAGTCACAGACCAATTTAGGAGAACAATAGGTCCACACATTTAACAAGGTCCCCCTGCCAGGAGCCCAGCAGGGGTCTGTTGTTGGGCCTGATGGCTGCCCTGTAGACACTGTGTCTGTCTTGGTAATGTGTTGCCTGCCCCTGCATCACTTAATGAGAATGTGATACGAGTATGAGCTGAATGGAGGGGCACCTGTCTGTCAAATATACCACACCCCTGAATTAAATAGCATAACGACTGCATCTTTCTGTACACTGAAAACAAAACTCTTACAGATTTAAAGTCTGAATATTCATTGGATTTAGACATTGATCTCTTTGCTAGTGCACATCATTCTGTTCCAGTTCAGATGACTATGAAGTGAAGTCAATATGAGTTAGTCCCTAACTAACCAGATATCTTCTTAGTTTTACTAAATAAAGTTCTTCTCCTATTCATTATTGCCAAAAGTTGCACTAAGATAGCATTCTTCAGAAATATACCTTTAAAATACGCATTCACTGCCATCACATCACAGTTAAATGTGAATCACAATTTAGTATTGTGAATTGGAAAAAGTTTTGTAAACTGACTGAACAAACAATTTTTTTCTAATAATATAATTCATAATTTCTCTCTACAGGTGTAATATCTTAATAACATTTGTTTCTTACAATATAATCTTCTTTTGTTCTTAGTTGAGGTCATTCTGCTCAAACTACATTTTGCAGTCTGTTTTTTGTGGGAAGTCATTACAGCTATGTTGTGAGAAAAACATTTATACATGTGCCACCATTTAGAGAAGAAATGTGATTAACATTAAATAATAAAACGTCTTTAGAATACAACACCATGATCATCCTTGACTAGGATGTTAGGTTTAATTAATTACACTTTAGAACTCAAACTAATCTGAACAAGGGATATATCAAATACTAATTTCACCCTTAGACAATTTTCAACTCAGGTTTTCCTGCTCAAATACCCAGCTAAAACAGAGGTTTGAAGATCCTTATCTACGTGTAGGATGTTATCATCCATAATCATTTGAGTAGCTTAACGTACATTTGGTATTTTCCCCTCTACAGTGCAGTATCCACTGGCTGAGTGGGACAGCAGCACAAACACCTGAGACGTACATCAAAGACAGAGGTGTGTTTGAGGAGGAAAGAAGGGGAGGACAGGATGTCTGGGCAGGCCTGCCTTGCAACCGAGTGAACTCAGATAAAAGCTGTCTCCTGCTTGCACATTAGAGACTCGTTAACTTAAGAGATTGAACCCCCTTTGCCTCTCTTCTCTCCCCTCTTTAACACCCTCCCTTCTCCATCCTGCTGGGCTCCAGTAGGACTGACAGTCCCTGTGCAGACTGTCAGTAGCACTCAATTGTCACATCCAGTCTCCGGGGCTTGTGGGCAGACGCTGCCAAGCCGAGACAAGGAGACAACTCGCCCCCAGAAAGTATTGTACAGAACTGCATCTGTGGATCCACTCAGTCAGCCAACACACCAACATTTAAGTTACAACTTTAACCTATAACTTATTTTGCATTCTTAACAGAGTTGTTACTTTAGAAATTAGAAAATTCTCTCTATGGCTTAAAGATCTAATGTTGTACCTGAACTTGGAGAAGATTACATATAACCTGAGGGGCTCTTCAGAAATGTTTGAATCTGTCTGGGGCTCTGTGATAGCCGAGCTGAACTTAAGACACGAAGTTAGGAAGAAAGGGGGGACTATGAAAGTATGTTTTTTTATATACAGTACATGTATGTCTGTGTATGTATAAATGTGTGGGTATGGGTGTAGGTATGTACATATATATGTGTATGTTTGTATACATATGTGACTATATGGGTACATGTATTACTGTTATTATTCTTTATCTTTTTTTTTTTATTATCTTTTACATTACTTTCTTTATTTTTACATATATACATATATATATTTATTTATTCACTTTACTAGCTAGGACCGGGGGGGGGGGAAGGAAAAGTATAGACCGTATAAATGTAACTCATTGTGCCTGACTCAATAAAAAAATATATTAAAAAAAGAAATGAGAAAATGCTGCTGTTAAAATATGGTAGCCTTATTGAGCTGCCTTGGCAGACGAACAGCGCAGGACTGCTATGACGCGGTTCACAGTAATTTACCCATATTCGTGGCAGTCCAACAGAAAAATCTTATGCACAGTGAAGCACATCAACTCAATAATCACAGGACACAGAAATAATTGTGCAGTGTAGACAAGCATCATCTTTATTTCTACCCCCCTGATTAGAACCGCATTTGGCTTTCACAGAAACAAGAAATTCCTCTTTTCAAACCAAATCAGTTAACACTGATCACAAACAGTCAAAAGAGAGACAAGCCAAGGTAGATTGAAGGGTAAAACAAAAATAAAGTCTTAGAACACGATAAGACAGTCAAGTTGTAGCTGAGGTACACCGTCCATGATTACGTTGTCCTCTTATGCAATCCTTTGCTCTTCTGCAACTCTGTTGGAGAAAAGGAGAAGCCACCAATAGATTAAAACAGCACTGGCAATTGTCTTGGTAGTAATTATTGTAGCTGCTTGTGTATACTCAGCCATGTAAAAATGAGAAATAAATACTTGTTTCAGCAATTTCTTTCACTTTTACTAAAAATCCAACTAACCTAAAAGCAGTGGGTTGTTCTGGACTATATCATATTGATGGGGGTTTTCCCTTACAAATGTCCATGAATTACGGCTCAGAATATTACAAATCACCTGTATACAAAGTCATCACTAAATATGTTAAAGGTAGGGTAGGTAAGAATGGAGAAACCAGCATGAGTGCACTAGAATTTGAAAGAAAAAATCTGCCCCTTCCTTCAGACTTCCTTACAGAGCCCCTCCTCCAACACACACGAACATGACCAATGAGGGCACGAGATAAGTTTGTGCACAGATGGAAGGCTGACAGGCAGGTAGGCCATCAAGTTATTTTAGCCGGGCGGCTCAGATGATTGGTCGTGCTTTTTACAGCGCCACGCCTTCCACAGATGACATTTTTGTATGTATTTATTGTCAAAGCATTTAATGTATTCATTCCTATCGGGATGTTAAGAGCATTCCATGGAATATAACAAAAAGTGTTTCTGAAGTGAATTACCTACCCTACCTTTAATACTAAAGCAGTATTTAATGAACACCTATGACAGTGTCTAACTGTAACTGAACATTACAGGCATCAGAATTTGAGCTGATGCAGGAACAGTTGTATTAGATTGCATTAGCTTGTACACGTTGCACAATAAAGCAGCCACTGTATACATTTCCATTAAAAATAAAGACTATGACGTCTGATAAGTTGACATACATCTGAGACTCTCTGAGGGAGGGAGGGGGGTCACAACCCAGATATGCCCCGTTGATGAAACTGTACTGCAGTAGAGCTCTGAAGCAATGGTCCTGGAAAGAAATTCAAACATTTAAAATACATAAAAGACTCAATATAACACAATTGTATTAGATTCTATAAAAATCTAGAATCTAATATTAGTGCTAATCAAGTGTTTTACTCACCATGATGAGGACGTGGGGGTTCCCAACAATTACGAGCAGGGCTTTGGGGCGAGTGATGGCCACGTTGAAGCGTTTGGGGTTGGTCAGAAAGCCGAGAGCGCTCTGCAAATCATCGCTCAGTACGGATTCATCAGAGCGCACCTATATTTAAAAAGAATGAAGTTTACTGAGTAATTGCTAAAATAGGGAATGAACTATGGCAAGGTAGTGAGTGTAGAAGTTGTGATCTTGAGTATTTGTATTACTATTAAATGGACAATGTCTGAGTTTCAGTTGCCAACCTTATAGAATATTATTGATCCGGTAACTAAGGAACGCTTTGCTTTTAGTTACCTGTTGTTGTTATATTAGTTCATTATTATAAGTGGGGATTTTTTATAAAAGGGGAAAGGGCACCGTTCTCAACATACTTAAACAAAACAGAGGACTTTTGGAATGAACTGCAAATAAAATGTGATCAACTTGTCCCCCCAACACAAACTACGTCAACTGACCACAAGGTGGTGCTAAAATGTTCACAAAAATAAAAACCCATCTTTCTGAGTGGATCAAAACCCGATGTCCGATGCTTTTGGATATATCTACTTAACATTTGACACATCTGGATTGAGCCAGAAAACCTATATTGATGGAATTTTGAATAACTATTTTTTATTCAAAGGACATTTACTGTAGAATCAATAGTCCACTCCAAGAAAGCTGACTATGATGTTTGTAACTTCTATCACACAGATTTAGTTTTTTCCTACCGTAGACATGATGATGACCAGGAACTCTTGTCCTTGGAACTCCTCCACAGAGCCCACTTTGATATCAGACAGGCCGACCTTACCCAGCAGCATTCTGATCTTCTCACACTGGAGAGTGGTACGAAAACAAGGACAGTGCTTTGTTAAAACATGCAAAGCCACTTAAAAGTATAGGGGCTATTGAATCTACCTTGGAGTAGAATATGAATTGACACTGAAAAAGCGTTTTTACTTCTTTATTAAGATAGATCTCACCTAAAGTGCTTTTATTAATAATAATTCCTTACATTTATTACAGCGCTTTTCCAGATGCTCAAAGCGCTTTACAAATACACATATCATACATGTAACGGTCATGTACTGTGGACAATACACACGGGAGCAAATTCAGGTGAAGTGTCTTGCCCAAAGACACAACGGCCTGACGAAGTGGCGGCGGGTTTCGAACTGGAGTTCCCCAACGCCACCTTTGATCTGATGATCAACGCACAGCCCACTGCGCCACTCCCTCCACTTTTAAGCTTTACTTATATTAGGAGAAACCCTAATAATACATATTTCCCAAATTAATCTTGTAGTCTTACTTGTTTCCTGTAGGGGGCGATGATGCCGATGTTCGAGACGTCCACAGGGTTGTAGAGCTTCTTGGTCAGCTGGCAACAGTAGAGCATGACCTGCACCGCCTCCATTGGGTTGAACCATGACGGGTTGTTGCCTTCCCTCATTTCTGTACCCTATGGAAAAGCAACATCCCTGGATTACATTTGACGCACATGCCCAATAAACTGGTAACTCTTTGTAGATGCATTATCTTGTCATTTTAAAATACCACTCACTCTAACTCCATGAAAGAGGAGAGGGAATTCTTTTTTGGGCAGGGTTTTCCACTGGCAGAGAGAGTCTACTACGTCCCTCTGTGCTTTAAAACACAGCTCGCCCTTGTAGAAGAGCTTAGAGGGCAGCGTGAGCAAGGCCTCATGGGAACGGTAGTTGAAGATCAGCTTAGTCACCTGATGCATTTCAAAACCAGATTATAATTATTATAACAGAGCATGCACACTCAAATATTCTTCCAAGATGAATTATTTGTATAGGAAGATATCCTACATACTATCAGATGCCATTTTTATTATCTTTCTTAGTGTCAATGTGCTACTTGCTTTAAAAAAAAACATTTAATTTGCTAAAAATTATGGATTTAGTATGCAGTGCACCAACCAGTTTAGGGTTGTAACCCCAGTCATGTCTGGCGTACAGCGGGTTAGCCATCAGCCTCTCCATCAAAGACACCCCCAGGCCAAATGCAGTGGCCAGCTTTGACTTTACTACTGGACCCAGCTGGCAGGGGTCTCCAGCCAACACTACCTGAGCAAGGGAGGGGGAAACTTCATTATTAGCCGCGTTCACACGAAGTACTTTGCCGTACTTAGTTCCCAGCACTTAGTTCCCCTATGGAACTAAGAGCAGATCGCGTTCACACCGGAATAAGTCCCTGAGGGAAGATTACGCAAATGAGCCGCTGACGTCACTTCGTCTTCTTCTGCTATGGGTTTACTGGCAGGCCGCAAACAACTTCACGGCGTATACCCACCCGAAGTCCCCGACCGGAAGTCCCCGTAGTTGACTGGCTTCAGTAGAAGCTGCTGGGACTCCCAGCAGNTCTGTCTCATCTGCAATGCGAGCGTGGCTTTACCGAAGAAGGGTAATATAGAGCGGCATTTCAAAACGGTGCACAAACGCTACGAGACGGAATTCCCTCCTAATTCTGCGCTACGCTCTTCTGTTCGTTGCGTGCATATTGTAACAGAGTTAAACATGTGAATACATAATTATAAGTTTGTGAATGTTTAATTCATAATAAGTTGTGAATTTTAAGAGATGAGATTGTTTCATTTAATATTTTGAGTTGTGTTTCCTGTGGGAACACCTTCCTGTTGCACGCCTTTGTCTACTTCCGGTATGTATTTTTCACTCTCCGCGGACTGGCCATCTGGAGAATCACAGAACAGCTGGTCGTCAAGGGCCGGCTCGATTCGCTGACGGCCGTCACTGCCCTTAATTTGTTTATGTTTTTAAATGGCATCAATGAAGTTGCACCGACAGAGGTCCGCCGTTTCCCAGTTGACAGTTCGCTAACACCCCCCTCCCCCCCGTTGACAATTCACTAACCCCTCCCAGTTGACAATTCATTAGCAGCACCCCCCCCCTCTATTTGGACTGGTAGATCTCGGCAGACTGGCAACTTTAGAAGTACCTCTTGGTTCAAAAAAGATTGGGCACCCCTGGCCTAGGAGCACGGCACATGTTCACAGGCAGAACCAGATATGTGGCCAGTTGGTGGAGACTATCATGATACATGATGGATGCAGGATGGCCGATTATGTCCTCCTCAACCAGGACTTTAGCTGTCTCTGGAAATGTGTCTGTTGTAGTTGGGTCTTTGGTGTTATCTATACTGTCGTACACAGAGTCCTCCATGCTTATAGCTGGCAGTGCATTCAAGTAAATCTGTGTCTTTAGAGCACCGCCGGTCCTGCTACAAAATAAATAGCTATCAAAAATGAAAAACAAAACAGAAAAAACTTGACTATAAGCTGTGCCAAAGGGTGTTGAACCTACCGCACACAAATACGAGGCACATAATCTTCATCCCCACTATCATCAGAGTTTGAGTCCACTTCCCTGGTTTCATCTTCCTCAAATGATGACACAGACTCCTTTTCAGGACACCATAAGTCATCTTCCCAGTCAATACTGGGGAAAAATTATAATTTCAGAGATTTATCTAGACGATAAATCCTCCCAAAAAGAAAAGTTAAAACATTGGGCTGAAGTGCAGCAGGGGAGCTGGCAGTAGCTGAGATGTTAGTGGGCACAGCCCATACGAAGTATAACTTACGTCAAGTTTTGAATGTGGTTGAATTCATCACCATTGATGAGGCCAATGTTTAGGTCTTGTGAGGACATACTAAACAGACAAAAAATTTACACAATCCGACAGTGGACATTGGACAGGATGTCACATGACCACATCTCACTAAAGTAAAGCAGGGACCAAGACTTTATTTCAAATGTGTGCCTGGGGTATATTTTGAATACCATCTCTCACTACAATTACCATACCTTGCATCCAATTCGTGAAAAGCAGTCTCCTGAGCACTTTTGTCCAACTCCTCTATACCAAAATAGTTCTTCATTCTCTAAAGGACACAAAATAGGACTGTTGATAAATAGATACTGTAAAATACCAGTCTTTGGTTAGTTTAATAAAAAATGTATGTTTCACATGGTTGATGCTCATTCTTTAAAGAGCAGTGACAAAGCATGTTGAACATAGTTCGGGTTCATTTTTGTAGGCCTGAACCACAAGCATCTCCAAATGTAGCCATATTTACCCCCATTCCCATACTACAATTAGTTGCTTACACCTTGGTTTTACTTGTTGATCCCAGGTGTCTGGGCAATGCCATGATATGGAGCTATGAAAATGTGTTTTTTCCTAATGTATCTGTGCCAAGGAACACCACCATGTATGTAAACAAACGAGCTAGACACAAAAATATGCAAATATTTACATATTGCCCATCAATAGGCGCTTTCACACCGCAGTACTTTTCCCACAAATGTTCATCAGTTAGTTGAACTCTTTAGTTCTCATGAACTAAGTACAGATCGCTTTCACACCGGAATAAGTCCCTGGGGGAGGATTAGGCAAATGAAAACGCTAGTCACTTCTCCTTCTTCTGCTTTGGGTTTACTGGCAGGCCGCAAGCAACTTCATGCCGTATACTGCCACCCGAAGTCCCCGGCCGGAAGTCCCCGGAGTTGGGGACTGGCTTCTATTGAAGCCTTCCGAGTAAATCGCCAGAACGCCGACACCTCCTCATCTCCACCGCTCCCATGTTTTCTTTTGTGTTGCCATAAGTTAGTCTCTCTGCGTTTGTGCGCTGGGCTAATGCTAATAATGCGAGGATAATAAAATGGCGGCTCTACAAAACATTTCAGAGTTTTACGGGGCGCGGTTTGCAATTCGCTCAGCCAATCAGAACTGGGGCACTTTTTTTCCCCCAGGAGAGTACCACCTCTCAGCAGGCACTAAAAATGGGGGTAAAAGTTCCCGGGACTAAGTACTCTTTTTGGTGTGAACGCGACATAAGGGATACTAACGGAATTAAGTATTAGTACGGGGGAAAGTACTCCGGTGTGAACGCGCCTATTAGTAACAACATAAACATACAACTGGACTGTTGTAAATGATTAGAAAAAAGTCTAGCTGTCGTTCTTTTCGATCCACAATACAAACACAACTGGTGCTGGTGATCCCACACAATTATGTCATGATTTCCCACAAGACAGATGCACTGGACAAAGCCTTTGGATGTGAATGTAGTCAGTGTGTGTGCCGACCTGTCCATCTCTCTCTGACAGATAACTCATGGGGATCAGGGACTCAGGTTCTGTGGCCTGGCCAGCTTCATCCAGGAAGACGTGTGTAAAATGTCCAACTCTGAGAAAATATTAAATAGAATCAACAGTAGGTGAACTAAGATAGTAGTATATAGAAGTGAGGACACATCTGCTTATTCAAACTGTGTACAACTATCACTGCTACTGCCCAGGACTTACTGTATTCCTATATTATGGAACATGCCAGAGCTGGAGCAAGTGCTGACCACAATCCTGTGGAAAGAGGCGTGGCGGATGTCCTCACCTGCCTTTGAGTACACTCTCAGTGCTTCTGGGATGGACTAAGAAAAAAACATACATTTTGGATGATGAGAAATGTACTAAAGTAGATTCAGACACAGCATGTCATCACGACCTCATCTATTATTTAAAAAGATAACTGTACCGCCCCCTCTGGTGGCAGATGTCAATGGCATCTGTACAGACCAGACTGCATAAAGGAGCATGCATATTTCCCTTTGATCATACACACTGTAAATAAGGTGTCTGTTGACAAAGGAAAACTGAATCTCTTTTCCCAGCCGCTGTTAAATACCTCCTCCTGCCTTGAGGTTGGGTTGACACGGGCCAAACTCGCAGCATGCAGGAAGCCACTGTGATGAAGGCGGGTGCAGATGAGGTCAGCAGCGCTGTTGGAGGGCGTGCACACGAGAACACGACTGCTGGGCAGAAAGTGGTAAACCTGGAGGAAGAAAGAAGTCAAACAAGCAGAGGAGCAGAATGGAAGTAAGCTTAAGACTGGGCATAAGACCTACTCACTATTGCAGCTTAAAGTTGCGGAGGCGTTTTCCCATTAATACCAGTTTTATCAACAGGTTTACAGTGTAGCTGTCCACACAACACCGTAAGACCTACCCGTTTGGATTTATACATCTGGACAGTATTTGTGAATCACTTTTTTCAGAGATTGAAAATATAGACACAGAGGATATAATTGAACAATTAAAATGACCATGGGCAAGGTCTGAACAACTTTATGAAATCAAACCTATAAAGAGTTAAATATATTTGTTTACGACTACTAAATTATGTTTTTGCAAAAGAGTCCTAAAGCACTGGACTGATATATCAGTTTATATTTATTGAAAGGGTTTCTTTAAGTTGGCTAGTTGGAAGATATGAATTAACATAGCTTCTGATTAGGAAGATGATATGTACCTGTAGTATGGCTTCTATAACGGTGATGGTCTTTCCCGTGCCCGGAGGTCCAAACAGCACATAAGGAATGGGCCGACACTCCCCTTCCAGGATCCTCTTCACTGCCTCTCTCTGAGGGGGGTTCAGGTCCGGGTTAAAGAAGTGCCCTACACTGGGGATGGGCTTGGATGGCAGTGTTCCTCCTAAAAGCAATGAAACACTTGTCAATTATATACTTAATCTGATATACTCAGGCAAATCTTGGACCAACTAAACACTAGGGCTGTCCCAAATACCATTTTTCGGGCTCCGGATATTCGGTAGCAATCAGCAGCAGGGGGGGGGGTGCGTAGTAATCAGCAGCGAACCGCTTCAACACGTGTATTTCGGTTTATTCACGGCATTCATTTTGTTATGCTACATCTACAGTATGGTTGTTTTATAGTTATTTGTTAATGTATACAACCCAATTTGTGTTCTTTGAAATTGAAAAGGATATTGCATTGTGTGTGTTACTTTTGTTGCAGTTGTATATGTTATTGTCTTAAGTGTAATTTGGCTTGGCTTCCTATTTTGTATGGACATGCTTTTATTTTTGAAGGAGTTAGCGCTGTTGACAGGAAGTTGTTGTTGCTATGGAAACAACGTGACGGAGATTAACAAAAAGTAATATCTACATATAAAGACGGAGAAAGTAAACGATAACGTTTATGGTTAAGTGTTGGCACCCCCCGAAGAGGCACAAGGTCTTATGTTGATATTGGAGTTTTCAATAAATTCAAATTTGAAAAAAACAAAACGAAAAAGGAATAACAAAATTGAACAGCCCTACTAAAACACTAAATGTACCTTTAGTCTGCGTGGCCTTTGACTGCATGTCCATGGAAACCTTTCCATTTTCCTTGGTTGGAATCTGGTGTTGAAATACAATTACACTCAAATCAAAACCAAGAAAATAAATGACAACAATGTGTATAAATCTTTATTTTTTCACCTCATTGCCCGTTGCTTTGTTTTGCTCTGTCTCATCGCTCCACTTCCCTGTCCACTGATGGGTCTGAACAGTCACTTTAGAGGGGAAGAGAACTGCACAACAGGGTGAAAATGACAGAAATCTTACTGTGGTACAAAAAACAGAAGGGTAAACCAAGATGGACTAGCAAAAACGTGAGGTACAAACAGCGCCCTCTGGAGGCGAGCTGGTGGTAATGTCAATGCGTGTCGTGAAAGAATGATTTTTCAATATAGTGTATCGCTTTGCTGGTGAAATAATGACCACTAAAGTTCAATTATTTCTTAGAATCTTCTTAAATTGACTGATTAGATTTGTTTTCGTTTGTATAGTGAAGAAAAAAACATTGTCAAAATCATTATCTGCTTTTTTATAGGGAAAGTGATTTTACTATTCATAAGTATAGTGTATCAATTAGAACATTTTCATTCCAATTAATTTCAGGGGGATACTTTCTTCAAAATGCCTTATAATGTACCTTTCAAAGAGTACTCCATATTGCACATAACTGAATGTACACTTTATTTATGGTGTCTAAAATGCCAGGAAACTACCAGAATTAAAGTAATTTGAAAATAACCTTAACTTACTATTCCAAAACTGCTTTGTGTGTTCAAGTGCGTAGTGACACCGTCTCGAAGGCAATCTGATGATGTAAGCAGTCAACATACCTGTATTATAATCATTAAGCATCATTGTTGGGTTAAATATTTGTACATTTATTTGATGTAATAAAAATCACATCCTCTTTTCTAACCTGTTGTAAGAGAACTCAACATCGAGTGGCTCCCCGAGGTAGCTGCGCTGAAACTCTGGGTTCACTCTCAAACTCACAGTCTCTTCATTGATCTGAGTGTTAAAACAGAACATTAGATTCAATCTAAAGAGCATTTCTGTTTGATAACGCACAACATGAAAGATGTCTCAGATTATAAAACATTTCCATACCTCTTTTACATTACCAACATACTCCATCACCACTCCGTCCCTCTGTGGTTTCTTCAGTAATATTCGGTCCCCTGCAGAGCAAACTTTTCAAAACCCTTCTTGTTTTCCACAGAGGAAATCATAACATTAGCAATAGTTCAACAATGATAAAGAAAGGCCCCTCACCTATATTGAGATTGGGTCTGCCTTCGGACAACCCAAGGACCTCTAGGTGCAGGTAGACCGCTCCTTTCTTGAGGAGGGCCCCGTGGATTGTTTGTTCTTTTATTTCCCTCTCTGCGTGCAGCTCGTCCAGCCAGAGAAGGACTGAGAAACGCAGACGCATGTTGGATGGTGAGAGAACCTGAGCAAACAGGCACAGCAGGAGAAGGAAAATGGGATTTTTTTCAAATTCTATTTGCTTCTGTGTCCCACCACAAGGGAAATTGCATAAGTCTGCGATTGGCCGTGTGGATTTCGAAAGGATACTCCTCCTATTCCGCTATCTATTTAGCAAAGGATGTGCCGCTGCCTCTTGTTTAGTGTGGCCCACAACGATTGGATTAGGTTAAAAAATGTAAAGACAAACTAAAACATTTTTCCCTCATATTCCATTATAATGTGACTGTGGAAAAAAC